AGAGAGAGAGAGAGAGAGAGAGAGAGAGAGAGAGAGAGAGAGAGAGAGAGAAATGATTTAAAGAGAGAAAGAGGGATTGTCGGGAACAGACAAGCCTAAACAGTACATGTGTACCTAGATCTACATTACGCTTTTCGAGTGACCTTCTCAGAAGCCATAAAAATTTTAATTTTTTCGTCACCCAAACCACTCGCCCAATCGTGTTTGTGGACTGTCAAAAAGGTGTGAAAAATGCTGTCCATCACTCTCTTTGTTCTTTTGGGGGGGGGGGGGGGGGGGGCAGTCTCGCCAACTGGATGCCTAAAATGTCTTACGCAGGCTGGCACATTTTAATTTTCGTCACCCAAACCAATCGCCCAAAACGGTTCAAGATGCACACATCCATGATCATTACGTTATTGATTGACAGGTGCCATTTTTTGACACTTGGGGTTAAATTTAAATCTGAATCTTTCCTCTCTATTTAAACGTGCTGCGAAAAAATATTAGGTCTATTCTTGCTCTTGCTTTCAGACAGCGACAGACGTGAATAGTTTCCTTCCTTTAGTTCTAGATTTCTACTTCTTGTACTTGCTTACTTATCAATTATTACAATGGCAATGGCTGCAAGTTTCCCAAGTGTTTCGAACTTGAATGCAAGGGAGCTACACAATGCAACGTCATCCGTCGAGGATACCATCGCATGGCTACGGCAACATGGACTTTTGGCCACAACGAAAGCTTGCAACGTCTGTGGGCATGCCACCAACCAGATTCGGGATGGCAAGAGAAGTGATGGGTGGAGGTGGAGGTGCCAGAATAGAGCCTGCAGAAAAGATGTGTCGATCAGGGATGGGAGCTTTTTCGGTACTGATTCGAAACTGGAGCTTAAGCAAGTTCTGGACTTGCTCTACTGCTATGCCTACGAAACCGCATCGGTCCAGAACTTGGCCAGGGAATGCAGGATGGCTTCAGAAGCGATCGTAAACTGGAGAAACTACGTGCGAGACATTTTTGCGGAATACTTTATCCGACACCCGTTGACCATTGGTGGCCCTGGCCACGTGGTTGAAATTGACGAATCTGCCTTCGTTAAGAGAAAAGGCAATGTTGGAAGGAGAGTGAACACTCAATGGGTTTTTGGTGGCATTGACGTGCATACGAAGCAGGGATTTCTTGTAGCAGTTCCCCAACGTGACGCAGCAACCCTACTACCAATTCTGCAACGTTACGTTCTGCCCGGAACAACTGTCGTATCCGACCTATGGGCAGCGTACAACACTGTCCACACTCTGGGATATCGACATTTAACGGTCAACCACAGCCTCCACTTTGTGGACCCTCACACCCACGCAACCACCAACCACGTGGAATCCATGTGGAGTCGGGCAAAGCAAAGAAACAAGCGAGAGTGTGGCACCTTCCGAACCCAGCTGGATTCGTATCTAATAGAATTTATGTGGAGGCAGCAATTTAACAATGACCCTTTCGAAAACCTGCTGGCTCACATCAGGGATGTGTACCCACTGTAAAAAAAATCTGCTAGCGTTATTTTGTATACCTATGTACCTGTATATTTGTGTGTGAGTGTTTGTGTATTATGTGTTTATATGTGTATATGTATATATTATTATATGTGTGTGCAAGTGTATGTGTATATTGTGTGAATATTTGTATAAATATGTGCGTGAGTGTTTGTGCATTATGTGTTTATGTGATATGTATATATGTGTGTTTGTGTATATTGTGTGAATATTTGTATATATGTGTGTGGGTGTGTATGTGAAAACAAAAACATCATAATTATCGGAGTTCAATAAAATGTTAATGGTACCGGTATGCATTTCACAACTCTCTCTTTTAACTGCCTCTAATTATCCCTTTGTCCCTCCACTCTGCCTCTCTCCCTATCTCTCTCTTCGATTCCTCTTTCTCTCTTTAAATCATTTCTCTCTCTCTCTTTCTCTCTCTCTCTCTCTCTCTCTCTTAATTATGTCTGTCTCTCTTTTAATTATCTTTGACTCTCTTTTAATCACCCTCTCTCTCTCTCTCTCAACTGTTTCTCTTGTAATAATCTCTCTCTCTCTCTTTCATAATCATGTCTGTCTCTCTTTTAATTATCTTTGACTCTCTTTTAATCACTCTCTCTCTCTCTCAACTGTTTCTCTTGTAATAATCTCTCTCTCTCTCTCTTAAAATACTAACTGTCTCTCTTCTCTCAACTCTCTCTTCCTTTTAACTGTCTCTCTCTTTTAATTATCTCTTTCTCTCTCCACCCCCTCCTCTCCCCCCCCCCCTCTCTCTCAACAGTTATCGATCCCTCTTTCTCTCTTTAATTAAATCATCTGTCGCTCTTTCTCTCTCTCTCTCTCTCTCTCTCTCTCTCTCTCTCTCTCTCTCTCTCTCT